TACTTTCTCTGTGGAACTATGCCTCGCATAGAACGTCGAACATGAATACCTTCAGCTTCGTCTTCAGATGAAGGCTCCCCCTGCTGAGGAATATCATCACTGTGAGTATCATCATCACCTACTGAACCATCACTCTCTTGTTCAGTAGTATCATGCATCTCCTCGTCGCTGAGAGGAATGTTTGATGATACAGGCACTTCGTCTTCTGGAGTATGTTGTTGGCGGATTATTGGAACACACCCATGAAACTCGTTTTCATGAAATACAACATCTTTGCTTCGTACAACTTTCTTCACTTCGGGATCCCACAACCGGTATCCGAATTCTTCATCACCATACCCGATGAAGATGCATGGGTTTGACTTGAGATCCAGCTTCTGTCTCAACTCCTTGGACACATGTGCAAATGCCTTGCACCCGAACACTTTTAAGTGAGAGTAAGAAACATCTCTTCTTGACCATTTCTTCTCTGGCACTTCAAAGTTTAAAGGAACAGAAGGTGACCTGTTTATAAGATAACAAGCTGTCAGCAAAGCTTCACCCCAGAATGGCTTAGGTAGTTTAGCCATACTCAGCATGCAGCGAACTTTCTCCATAATGGTCCGATTCATTCTTTCGGCTACACCATTGTGCTGTGGAGTTCGTGGAACCGTCTTCTCATGTCTGATTCCATATGCCGCGCAATATGCTGAGAACTCCCGAGAAGTGTACTCTCCTCCATTGTCTGAACGCAGGCACTTCAGCTTCTTCCCTGTTTCTCTTTCTACCATGGCATGAAATAATTTGAAGCGATCAAACACTTGATCCTTACTCTTCAAACAATAAGCCCATACCTTTCGTGATGCATCATCAATGAATGTCACGAAATATCTGCTTCCTCCAAGTGACTCCTCTTCAATGGGTCCGCATACATCAGAGTGTATAAGACTGAGTAACTCTGAATGGTTCTTCCTGGTAGAACTGAAGGAAACCTTATGTTGTTTCCCGAATAGACAGTGCTCGCATGGATCTAGGGCAACACCTTTGCCCATGGAAATGACTTCCTTCTTTGCAAGAGTTGTCAATCCCTTCACGCTCAAGTGGCCTAGCCTTCGGTGCCACAAGGTTGGTGATATCTCTTCTTCAACAGCATTAAGACTTGGATGACACAACTTTGCATGAGTTTTATAAAGAGTACCACAAATATGGCCTCTTGCAACAACCAAGGAACCTTTAGATAACTTCCACGTACCTTCTTTGAATCGGTTAAGATATCCTTGCTGATCCAGAGCTGTACCGGAGATAAGATTCAATCTAAGATCCGGAACATGTCGAACATCTTTCAACACAAGTGCGCATCCGACATTGGTTGTTATGTGCACATCACCAATGCCAACAATCTTCGAGAAACTGGTGTTTCCCATCTTCACAGCTCCAAAGTCCCCGGACTTATAAGATGTGAATAAATTCTGGTGTGGAGTGGCGTGAAATGATGCAGCTGTATCAATCACCCACTCATCATCATGAGTACCTACGTGTAAACATTCTTGTTCACCATGTGTAACAAGACACACGTCTGATGACAAACTAACCATGGTCTCACCATCATCTTGGCTAGTATTTTGACTCGTCTGTGGCTGCTCTCGTAGAAACTTTCTACAATCTCTTTTTCTGTGCCCATAATTACTACAGTAATTGCAATATCCTTCAAACCAAGTACTGTTTTCAAAGGACATACCTCTCTCTTGTGATCTGCCGCGAACTTGAGAATTTCCTCTGTTTTGACCTTGGCCTCTACCTCGACCTCGAGTTCTTCCTCCATTTCTGCCTCCCCCTCGTCTGCTGGTTTCTGACACGAAGGCATATGATTGTTCAGTCCCGGCTTCTTTTCTTCGGGCTTCTTCGTTCATAAGGGCATCTGTGACCATCTGCATAGTCACTTTGCCATTGGGAGCAGAATTGCTGAGAGTGACAACAAGAGTCTCCCAGCTGTCAGGTAGAGAGCTCAAGAGTAGTATCGCCTGTTCTTCATCTTTGAGAACCCATCCGGTGGTGCTCAACTGATTCACAAGATCCTGGAATTGACTGGTGTGTTCTGACACCGAAATACCTCCTCGTAATTTGTGGTTTACTAATCGCCTCATTAGTAAAGTCTTATTTCGTGCGGTTTTTGCTTGATACATGCTACCAAGCTTCTCCCATAGTGTGTAAGCACTTTGTTCTTGCGCAACATGGTGGAACACACTATGATCAATCCACTGTCGAATTTGTGCGACAGTTTTTCTATTCATTTTTGTCCATTCTTCATCCGTCTTTTTATCCGGTTTCACGCCATTATTATCAAGAGGATCAGCTAAATCCCTCAAATTTAGCAAATCCTCCATCCGAGGCTTCCACATATTGTAATTTGTGGAAGTGAGCGCAATCATGGTGTCCGATGATGATTTATCCATAATAAAACGCTCAAAATATCTCGTACCTTATTTTCGGAGCCGAATTTGGACAAACGGAGCTCACCGTTGGATCCGGAATGGCCGAAAATGGTAGGAACCGGTCTGACCTTGTCCAAAACCGGTCCGAAAATGGGTGAACCGGCCTCCACAAGTACGAACCGGTTCGGTCCGGTTCAGGCAGCAGCCCAGTGAGCAGACCAGCAGGCGGATGACGTGGCAACAGCTGGCTCTGCGCTGGCGCTGACGTGGCGCCACGTGTCACTGACGTGGCGCCACGTGTCGCTGACGTGGCACCTAGAGATGGCTTGCACGGATGACGTGGCGGATGGCGTGGCGCTTACGTGGACTGACGTGGCGGCTGACGTGGCGGCTGACGTGGCTCGTCTTCTTCCTCTGGACTGCGTGATGACGCAATGATGACGCAGGCAGTTTTCCGGCGCGTTTGGACGGCGCGTACGGCCTCTTCCGGTGGCCAAAAAATTCCCAAAAAATACCAGATTTCTCGTCTCGACGAGACGAATCTAACGGTATGATCAGATCGTGATTCCGAGCAACTTGAAAAATCACGATTTTCTAACCTGTAGAAATTTATCTGAAAATAAGAAAACAGTGTATGAAAACTCAACCTCGCTCTGATACCACTTGTTGGGATTGGAAAATTCTTCTATTCAATATCAAGAACAGAATTACAATAGGAGGAGCAAACTCTCACACTCAACTATTACAAAAAACCAATCCTCACCAATACACTTCTACTCTAAGTGTATTTCACTCTTCACACACTTTTCTCACTTTCTAAACTGATACTATGAACAACAATAGAACACTCTATTTATAGGCTACTTTGGAGACAAGAGGAAGTTGCATCCATGCTTCCATAGTTATCTCCATATCTTCTCCCATCTTTATTTGTTGGAGACCTCCTTCCAAGAAGGTGTGAGATGCCTCTTGGCAACTTCCAAGAAAGAAGGTGGAAGAATCCTACATTGGCATGGGAATTGTAAATGATTGCCTTTGTCTAGCTCGTTTGGACAGCGAGACACAGACCGTTCAGATTTTGGCCATGAAAGAATATGGAAACGGAGAGTCGTGGTTCAGAGCATTCGACATCTCTTTGTCCAAATTTGGTTGTGATGCTGAAGATTTGTACACCTTCAATTTTTTCTCTCTAGAAAAGAATGGAAAAGTTTTCATGAAATACGGCCATAAGAGGAGAACTCTTGTCTATGATCCGGTCAAAGAAGATGTTTTCACGGTTGAGAATCGTTTACCTGATTCAGAGACCATTCATAGTATGTGCTTCTATGCTCAAAGTTGTGCATCCCATATGACCAATTAAGTTAGAGATAGATATGTTATAGTCACCATATCTGATGGTCAATGGATGCATCCTATACTACATTCTTCTATCGTTGTGTTATCTATCAATAAAATTGAAATTATTGTGATTCCCAAAGTTGAGAACGACAGTTGGAATACACAAAATTGAATACAGAAATTGAGAATACATGAAGGAGTATTTTGTTAATCTTGTGGTTATCCACTCATCTGAATAGATGAGGCTCGGAATCTATTCAGTAGCAAAATAAAAAGAATGACTTTTCTGATTGTGTTTATTACTTTGAGCTTAGCTTCATTCTGAAATCTAAAGGTACCCTCATGTGATCTTTTGTTGCATTCATCTTTTGCCAAATTCGGAGACCAATATAATCATAGTATGTGCTTCTATGATTGACCAGCATGAAATTTTGTATATAATTTTTTAAAATTTGCGATGGACCAGCATGAAATTTATTTATACTTTATTTTCTTTTACTTATTAGTTTTGAGTTATTTTATATATACCTTTTTAATTACATATTGCAGATTATGTCTTTTTATTATAAGTTTCAATTGACTTTTTATTTTTTTAATTACACGAATTAAATTGTTTTATTATAATTTCTAATTATGTTATTATTTTTAAATTAAATTTTGTTTTAATTATTTTATATTCTTAATGGCGTAAGAAAGAAGTAAAATACTTCTAAAGGAACGAGTAATATATGATTAAAAGATAATTCTTTCCGATATACCGTGTATTATTTAATTATCTGAAAAAGCATTAGTGTAACAACTAATCGGTATAGACTAGCGGGTAATCTATGCAAGGAACTTTATCCCCACCAACAGGGATCCCGATGTCTTATTTTATTTGGCATTTTCGAAACACTCTTAAAATGGGATGACATGTAATTAGAGAATGATGTGGATAAGCTAATGTGGCTACTGACGGTTATAATGAGCTGAGATGACATGACAACAAATACCATATTTTGGAAAGGTGACAACTCCGGTATCCAGCAATCTGGATAGCAACAGTGGCTTTAGAGTTTAGACCTTGGTAGTGGATGATTCCTTGATTTATGAGACAATATATTTGCTGCAAGATTTTTTTACTCTGTTTACATTTCAGTTGTTTATATTACTAATATTAGAATTTGTTACATGAGACGTTTTGCATTGAGCATAAGAGAATCAAATAAAAAGAACAAATTCGAATTATCTTCATTAAAGAATACAGAGCATGCCAGAAGGGAGAAAAGCCAAGCTAGAAACAAGCATTAAAGGTTGGTTCTCTTTACAACTATTGGGTGTCTAACTCTTTTTGTCGTTGGGCAGCCTTTCGCAGTTTCTCCAATACTGAATCTTCAAATGCCTGATATTCGTGGGGGCCTAGTTTGCTTGATGCACATGAAAACGGAGACGAATCTGTTGGCATGTTGACTGGCATGAGAGGCACCACTAAGAGAGGATTAGAAAGATCTCCCAAAACAACCCCGCAAACCGATTCAATGGCGTCTTTAGACGCCATTACAACAATTGCTGACCCTTTGCTCTTAGAACTCTTTATCACAACGTCTTCCACCTTACCAAACTCCCCAAACAACTCCATCAACTGCTGGGCAGTATACCCCACCACACAACCTTTCTCCCAAGAGACTTTAAGTGCCTTCTCTTTATCTATACTAACAGCCCCCATGCAAGGTTTCTCTAAGGTGCAGGTTTTGTAAGCCTGCATTGCGCGGATTCTCGCGAGTTCCTCTTTGAGTTTGTTGCTGATTCGCTCTTCCTCCTCTCGGGCTCTAGCCGCGTCATCTCTGGCTCGGGAGGCGGCGCGCTCTCTTGCATCGAGGTCTGCCATCATCCTCCTACGCTTCGCATCATGGTGAGATTGGCGTTTGGACTTTTCATGTTTGACCATGAAAAGATCATCAAATAGTTTCCTAGCTTTCTTGTCCATAAGAATCTCATATGAAGTTTTCAGCTTTTGGAAATTAGCGTGGGCATTTGGATCATCGAGTCTCTTGTCTGGATGCAATTCCAATGCTTTAGAACGGTAAGCTTTGGATATCTCTTTTTGGGAAAGCTTGAATCCTTCTTCACCAGAGGGTAAGCCAAGAACAGCATAATGATCAACGTGATGAGAATCCATGTTGGCTTACTTCTGTTTACTCACCTCCAAGTAGATCAAGACCAAAAAAAATTACTCTGTTAGTGCAAGCACAAATAATTGGATCGAAATAGAAGAAATCAATCCAAGCGTGCAAATTATAAAGCAAGATTATAAGAGGAATCTTTCGAGGAAATTCTAAATATGGGTTCGGAAAGCCGTAGTTACGTAGGATTTATAAGGAACAGACAAAAGCTATTTGGAAACTTTTCTTCCAAGACTCCGAATCAAGAAAGAATAAGAAAAAGATGGGGTCATGTATAACAACTATAGCTATGTTACGGACCATCTAGAGTATATTCCATAATTCCATAAAATAAAGGATAAAAACAATATTATACGTAATACAAAAAATAGATACGTATATACGATCCCCTAAAACAGTGGAGGCCGGAGGGTAGCAAATCGCATATTTTTTTGGGAATTTATGGTACCCATAAGGTTACCATACCTTTGTCCACATGGACCAATAAGAATGTGGCAGTTCAATTATTTAAATTTAAATTAAAAATGATAGAATGATGTGGACCAGTCAAGTAAATGGTATGTACGGTACCCCATTTTTTAAATGGATATCGGAGTTGTCACCTTTTTTTCCCCAAATCTAGTTACGGGTTAACCATTGTTAACATAATTTCAACTGTAACCGTACCATGTAACATTTTTCTTTTGCGGTTGGTTAATCGTACCACGAGTTTTAAAATTTACGGTACGGTTAATCGAAAAGTACATCGATTTTTCGGTTATTTGGTTCGGTTACGGTATTTTCTTGCCCACCCTTAATTTATAGTCTCTATTCTGATATTCACGGTCATCAATCAATTACGGAGTATCTCTACAATATTATAAGCATGAATAGAGGTAAGGATATTTTAGGTATGAAAAATGTGTTGGTGGTTACATATTGTTATGATAGCATGTACCCTACGCAGTCAGACTTATTCTTTTTGAATCGTGTTGTTGGTACCCTTCCGTTACTGTCTTCGATTCACTTCCGTTTGCATCTTACTCCTATTCAATCAGTTTGTTCCCTCTGCATCTCCACGACTCCACCCCTCGGACTCCCGGCTTCTAACTATATATCTAGTTGCATACAAGGTAATTACAAGTCGTCTGTCCTTCTTTTCTTTCGTCAATTTGCTGTCTACCTGAGTCATGATTGCCGAAGCTCTCCTTGATTCGCCTACGGACCCCGGGACTTAAGGATTTGTTGGGTGTGTTTAGAAAAACAAAGAAAATTAATTAATAAAAATGAATTAAATAAAATGACTTAAAGAAAAAACAAGAAATGAGATGAAGCAGAATAAGCCAAAGCTCGTACTACGCACGATTTCCTTAAAACGTATTCGTTGTGTGCAGGTCGCCCGTACACGCAAGTCGCGCTTTTTGTTCTTCGGTTTCGGGATTTGATTCGCACCACCCCTGCGCGCGTGAGAGAGCCTTTCCCTTTAGGAAGCTTAACTCCTTGGGGGGGGGGGGGGGTCCCTTTATAAAGGGTTCAAATTCCCTTGTGATTTTCGGTGTGGGAAAAACCCACACTAAAACCCACTTTTTCCTAGTTTTCTCCATTCCAACGGGTAAACTTCGAAAAGCGATTTCTCATTCACCCGTTATCCGTTTTGAGCGTACCAAATATCGAATTGTAGCCCTAAGCAAGGACAATCCGAAACCACTTTTCCCCGTCCCAAATCGGAAGTGGACCCCACTCAAAAAATAGCCCCAAAATGACCATTTAATGCAATTTTAACACACTTTTTCCAACAGGATTTATGCCTCAATGAAGAGTATCTTATTTTACGAAGCTCCCTATTGTTTTTATCTGATTTCTAAACATCCCAGTAAGTCCATTTCAGCTAAATGCTTCAACACAACATTTACTATGCTGAGTTAGAGTTACATATTTTTGTGTTTCTGATTGTTGGGTAACTTGATTCTATGGGAAGCATATGTAGGAGTTTAATAGTAATGTCAATTTGATAGATTTAGAAACAGGAAAAAGTAAGTTCACGATTTGCATTTTTCATTGTTTGACAACCCTTTTAAAGCTTTATTGAAAGGTAATTGCTAAACAAATATGATGCACATCAAGTGTTTGTGTATTTGTCTCAATGAAAGTGTTTGCATTTTCATTGATGACTAATATTATTGTATCAAAACTCTAAGTAAAGTTTAATTGGGAGACAGTTTTAGAAGCTATGAAAGCAACACGTAATACTTTTAAGTGTTACTTTATTTAAAATTAACTCTTCAATATCTTCCATGAGGTCATAAGTATAATTGGTTTGTGGTATAGGATTTAGGCAGGGTAAATTTCATTCACATCAATAGTGATTGGTTGTCTTTAAATTACTATCTCTATTCCTTAAAAACTTTGTCATCTTTGAACTTATAGATAAGGATAAAGTTAAACTTTGACCAAGTTATATTTTTATAGGAAATGATTTACAAACTAGAAATTATATAAAATGTTCTCTATTGAAAATATTTTCATAAACGCATGAAATTTATAACTTTCATAGAGTTATTATACTAATCAAAATCATTGATCAAATTTTATATCATTGATTTGAAAAGTAAAATATGAGAAAGTTTTAAGGGACGAAGAGAGTAGAGAAAAGCTAACATTCAATTTACTAATAGTGGTTTGTGACATCAGTTTGCAAACACAAACAATGTTTGACCCTTAAACTGATTTAATGGGATTGAGATGGAACCATATCATATTTCAAGCTGCCTACCTCAACTTTGAGAACTTCCTTCTCTTCTCTACAATATTATACGGAGTAATAGTGAATCCAGTTATCACCCTTTTGGGTATGTATTTTGTTGGTGTAACACTATACCTATATAATGTTGTACATTATGTTAAACGCATTCTACCATTGCAATTTTATTTCTCATCACCCCTTTGTTATTATTGATGTCCAGCCTAAAGAGCTTGACATATCTACTAAAGCATACTACGCTGTTGAGGAGGTCAAAGATGTAAGAACATAAACACTTTTACCTTCTTGTTTTAAAGTTGCCTTATTGTTAAATGTTAAATGGTTGTACAAATATGCAGAATGCAACTCAAAAGAGTCAGAAGGTCTTCTTTGTACATGCCCCTTCAGAAATTGTTGCTCATGAGGTTGAAGAGATTGGTCTGTTCTCTTATCCCAACATCTGTGTTTTTTTTACTTTTTTCAGTTCAAATGGGTTTTTGTTGCTCTGCCACTGTGTGATAGCATTAACATTTGCATTGAATTTTCCTATCTTATGTCAACATTTCCACTTCTCTTTCTTATTATGTATAGGGGTCGAGCACTTGCTGAGGGATGTCAAGGGTACCACACTCAGTACTCTTGCAACAGAGGTTCCTTTCTCAACTTATTTCATTCCGCCTATATGGAAAAGAAAAAATTAGTACTCTTATCTCTTGCATATTTTGAGTTGGAAGAAAACCATTTAAGTGAGCTTAATGTTTGTTCCAATAGCTTTTTAGTTAGTAATTAAAGTCCAATCGTTTCCAATTTGCATTTACTAAAGCTTTAGTAAGTTTTGGCTCTCGTCTGAACTTTTGGGGCAAGCCTGGTATTGCTTCGGCAACACGACCCCCACTTTAGCAATTATAGTTTCGAATTTTAGATATTATAATATCTAAACAATATTTATTTCCAATTTCCAGAATCATTAGTTAATTGCATAATATGAGTGCATCTCTACTTTTGCCTTTAATGAGGAGGAATGACACATGTTTGCAAGGACGGAGCCAGGATGCGAGGGTGGGGGTGGGGTGGGGGAATGCTAATATATCGCTTCTCATGATACTCTAAGTCTCATGATGATATCTTCTTATGCTCTGACTTCTGTGTCCATTTACATACTTCTTTTTTATTTTATCTACTAATATGGTTACTAAATGTTAATCATTTGCCTTTGTATAACATGTATTTATTTTTTGTTTGAAACATGGTTAGTGCGAGGAAGGTCAGTCAAATCAACATAAGGCCAGCTATGTTTTTATAATCTTAAATGACCCATATTATTTGGAACGTAATTTTTTGTTTTGCTTTACTTGTAATAAGACTTCATTTTGTAAGGATGATTGTACTTCGAGAAATGAATGTACACTCTCTTCCTATTTCAAACGATTGCACTTTGAGAAATGAATGTACCCTCTCTTCCTATTTCATACATATTCCATCTTTGTTCCTGCAATATGAAGTTTGATTTGCATAAGAAGACATACAAAAATGTATTCCACACACGCATATATTGGGCATTTACACAATCGCGCAACGCGCGTGAAAAAAAAACTAGTTAATTAATAAATGTACATCATGAAAAAATAATTTGACTCCTTATATTTGTTTTGAACAAAATTGGTTTATATTCACATAATAGAATGAAAGCAGGTTACAATGTGAGAAGTCTTCTGTCTACCGTCCGCCCTAGAGTCAGACTTAGAATTAATAATCTCCGAAGTAGTAGCAATATAATTCGTTGATCCCGATTTGGGCTTAACTGAGCCAAAACTTGCAGACCAGACTCATCGTACCTTGTCCCAAGTTCTAGAGTTCTTTTGCTGGAAAAATACAACATAACTAAAACAAAATAAAGATCCAAATAAAAACAAAGCATGAATAAAACAAAGTAAGCAAAATAAATTTCTTGAACCTAGCCCCTCGTTCAACCCCTGGCGGTGATTCAGGAGGAGTCCGGATCATCGCTATGATTGTTGACGCACCAAATCGGTTTTCCCCCGACTCGGGCGCCTCTTCATCATCATCATCGATAACCAATTCGTCATCGTCCTTTTGTTCGCCGCTGATCTGTGCTTGAGATTCGCCCGTCGCCATAGCCTCGCACCGTCTTCCGATTGCCAAGCGTGACTGCACAAACTCGGCGGAAGTTCAAAACCCTACCAAGAGGGAGAGCCGCAACGCTCGATTGCTTAGACCTTTTTTGATTTATCTTTTTATTAATTTGACTCTTCATTTTAATACACTAAAATAGCATAATAAATTTATTATGATTTACACAGTTTGTTTATAGGCAAATCTATATACAACCATCAAATTAAATATTACAAATTATGTTATTTAACATATCTAATGCGTGCTCACAGTGCTAAGTCTGACATTTGCTGCCTCTCACGGTGCTAGGAGCGTTGCAACGATAGTTTCCCAAGATACGGTGGCTACGTACAACCGTATGAGCACACAATCGATTATTCTGGAGAACTGAAACAAAGCAAGAACAACAAAGAAATTTTCAGAGAGCTGGAAGATAATTTTAGCTAAAAAAGTATGTGGTAACTGTGACGTGTGTTTTTGAGAATCGCCCGCCAGCCATATATAGGGATGGATTTGTTGTGTGTTAAGTGACATTTAATGGACTAGAACGTTGGACATAAATGGACAGAATGTTGGGCATTAATATGTCCAAAAACTGTCCATTTAAAACTGCATTAAAAGAGAAGAACGTTGGGCATTAAAGGTTGTAATGGTTCAACAACAGTCTGCTAGTGACCGTTGAACAGCGAGCGGTATTCGTGTCCACAGGTCGCCCGCGCACGCAAGTCGCGGTTTTTCTTCTCCGTTTTCGAGATTGATCGGCCTCCCTCATGTGCATGAAGAGAGTTTTTCCACTTAGGAATCTTGACGCCTTCAAAGAGGTTCACCTTTATAACTTATAAGGGGGTGAAAATTCCTTGAGTTTTCTGGTGTGGGATAAATCATATTAGACATTCGTTTCCTAGTTATCTCCATTGCAACGAATGAACTTCAGGAATCAATTTGACATTCACCCTTATCTGTTTTGAGTATACCATATATCTAATCGAAACCCTTGACAAGGGGTATTAGAAATCACTTTGATCCGACTCAAATCGGACGTGGACTCCACTCAAAAAACTGTCCGAAATTGATTATTTAATGCATTTTTTAACACAATTTTCCAACAATATCTACCAAAACTTCCAAAAATAGAAAATGGGTCCTATTATATTTTCCTTTGTCATGTGATGTATTTTTCTACTCATTCGAATTTCCTTAGAAAAAAAATCAACCTTTTACACATAGTATTGGTCTCTAATATGTGTAGGATGGTCCCAATTCATAATTCATATGGTGTACACTAATAGGAAGAGAGCCTTATTCTCTAATTTAGCTCAACAATTTTAAGAACGAGGCCAGAGAAGATTACTTTTTGTCTTTAGGGATTCCCTCACCTCTTTGTTTGTATGCACCAATAATTGTAGTCTTAGTAATATTTATTTAGAGGCTATAATATAATGTGTTTGGCATACTTTTAAGTGGGCCTGTGATATTCATCTCCATTAAACTTGCTATTTTCAGCGAGTTGAGCTCAAAGTCACAGTTGGGCTACCTAATCTCTCTTATTAGAACCAAATGGCTTATGAGCCCTTTTTTATTTCATGTTGGGCTCTTAAGGGAGTGTTCGGGGTTGCTTAAAAAAAGCGCTTTTCAGCTTTTGGCTTTAAAAAGCTGAAAAGAGTGTTTTCAAATGACAGCTTCTGCTTAAATTAATCACTTAAAAGCTAAAAGCTGGAAGCAGGTAGAATGACGCTTTAAACTGCTTCTCACTTTTTCTATTACACAAAAAGTACTTATTTTACCAAACGCTATCAACTTTTACTTTTTCAGAATCACTTTTTTCTCAAACACCAGCAACTTTTACTATTAATCACTTTTCCCAAAATCACTTTAAAAAATCACTTTTTTAAAGTTGAAGCAATTGCAAACACTCCCTAAAACACTTGGATTTTACCCTGACCAACAAAAGAGTATTTTTAAAATTTCTTACCTTATAGTTTCCTTGTCTTAGAGAGTGTTTGCAACTGCTTAAAAAACATTTTTTGACTTTTGGCTTAAAAAAACACTTATTTACCAAACACTACCAATTTTTATTTTTCTCGGCTTTCGTGTGAAAAGTGTTTTTCCCATTTCTATTACACAAAAAGCACTTATTTTACCAAACACTACCAACTTTTACTTTTCAAAATCACTTTTTTCCCAAACAATATCAACTTTTATTTAATCACTTTTTCCAAAAAGTTCTTTTTTTAAGCAGAAGCTCAAACACTCCCTTAAAACATGTGAATTCAAACCAAGACTTGAATTAGTTACGGAGGGAGTAACAATCGTGTAAAAAATGAGCTCAATGTATCAAGTAATTTAAATAAATAAGGTTATAAACAGTACATCCTAAATTATGCTCAATGTAATGATGTATCAAGTAATTTGAATATATAAACTGTACATCCTAAATTATGCTCAATGTATCACATAATTTAAATAATATAATAATTTAATAGGAAATACTACCTCCGTCCCAAATTGATTTGCAAATTTGACTTTTCTTGGTCAAATAGTTTTGTTTTGTTCGCTTAAGTAGGATGTCATTTTTTAATTATATTCTAATTTGATGTTAATAACTTTGAAGAGATTTTAATGTAGTTTATGAATATGTAAATTTTAATTATTAAAAACTGAGTTAATTATTTATAAATAGGGTTGACTTTTACCATTAGTTGACCAAAAAATGTTGACTTTGCAAAACAAATTGGGACGGAGGGAGTAATTGCCATAATATTACTCCCTAAGTTTCAATTTCTAAAAATATGACCATTTTAATTTTTCCTTAAAATGTGACCCGCATCCGCACTCTTCATTGTTCTCCCTCGCACGAGATCTGTTTCTTCATCCGCATCTCACCTCTTCAACATGGCGTTAGAGATCTCCATCGTCCTCCATCGCCGAACTCACAGCAAGGATCGATCGATCTCCATCATCCTCCATCGCCGAACTCACAGCAAGGATCGATCGATCTCCATCGTCCTCCATCGTCGAACTCACAGAAAGGATCGATCGATCTCCATCGCTCCTCCATCTTCGAACTCACAGTCACAAATCTACGCCTTCAGCGGTCTCCATCCGCCTCCCCTTCTGTGCTCGGCAGTCGCCCTGCTTCTGCACTGATTTCTATTCCTTCTGTTTCTGTCCGGTCAATGGGAGGTGGATAAGAGTAGAATCGTCGTCGTCTTCATCCATTGAGCCTTGGATCGAATACCAAATTGCTGGGTAAGGCAGGGGAGGGGGCTGGGTGAGGCAAGGGGTTGGGGTGACACAGGGGAGGGGTTGGGCGAGGCAGGGGAGGGGGCTGGGGTGACATAGGGGAGGGGGCATGGTGAGGCAGGGGCTTGGGTGTGGTGGTTGCGGTCGTTGGCCAGAGTTGGTGGCTGCCGAAGGCAGTGGTCGGCGAAGGTAATTGGGCGGTACGGTGCGGCGGCAGTGATTCAGCGGTGCTGGCGGGTGTCATTGTGACGATCATTGTGGCGGTAGCCGAGCAGTCAATATGGTGGGAGTCACTGTGGGGCGGAGACACTGGCGGCAGGGCGGGGTCACTGTGGCGGCATGGCAGTCACTGTAACCGGCGGGGCAGTCACTGTGACCGGCGACGCAGTCACTATGGCCGGCGGGGCCGTCACTGTTGTCGGCGGAGCAGTCACTGTGGTTGGTGGGGTTACTTATGTCATAGTCACTTTGTGCGGAGTCACTTTGCACTGCAGAGTTAATTGTGATGTTGGTTACATTTTTAAAATTTTAAAAAACAGATCACTTTTTTGTATTTTATCATATTTTTAATAATATTGGAATTTAAGGCTGATTGCAACGGGGGAGAGTGAAAACCCAAATGTAAGCTTTTCACTCCCAAAAGAGCTGCAACGCGGAGCAAAAAATGTATGGGTGGGTCTCATCCACAATATAGAAAACGGTGGGGAGCTATTTGTAGACGGCCAATTGACTCTCTCTGCGCAAGACAGAAATTAGCTGGGCCCTCACCCTTTGAGAGAAGTGGATGGCTGTGGTGCGTTTGAGGGAAGCTGATGCATGGGCCCACTTTAAATAAAATCCCCAGTTTATTTGGAAGTTTTATAATTTATTAATTTATATTTTAATTTTTACAAAAAATATATCAAAATTCATAACTTTTTATTCTCTTTCATATGACACCAATATTATATATATAATTTTTTTTTTTAAATATTAGTTGTATATTTTTAGGTTCAACTTTTTTCTTAAACAAATCCAAGTGTTAAAATTATAGTCTCATGGTAAGAAATTTTTTAAGAATATTCTTAAGAATATTTTTATCTACATGTCTGAGTTAATTTTTTCAAAAATAGATCTGAAGTAACAAAAAAATTAAACTCTGAATTTATTTTTTTTACATCAGAATGTTTGACTTTTAAAATCATAATTATTAGTAAAAATAAAATTACCACATAAATGATGTGTATTAAATAAAGTAAGGATTTGTGAATTTAACTTAAAAAATATGTACTGAGTTAATATATTGACGGTGTTGGGTTGCAGAGAAAAACTGAATTGATTGGGTGAATACGTATAAAATGGAGGGGAATTAGATTTATTGACGGGGTGGATTGCGGTTAGCCTAATAGATACTACTCCGTGCTAAAATACATATTTCCCCACAATAATAGTCATTTCGTAATCGTGTGAAAATATAAAAATACAAAATCTCAAAAAGTTGACTGTACTGTTTTACAATAAGGTGTACCATACAATTATTTGGATATGTACTCCTCTGTTTACACAAGAAGGAGATGTCACTCTCCTCATTGGCTCATTCTCTCTGTAGAGAACTGTTCATTACTGGTTCAACGAACATAAATATTTCAATCATTACAATTAAATAACGAATTTTACTACCCATTTTACCCTTGCCGGGATGATTACTTGGCACGATCTGTACGTGGTCTTGACGGCGGTGATTCCTCTGTATGCGGCGATGATCTTAGCTTACGGCTCCGTCCGGTGGTGGAAAATCTTCACCGCCGACCAGTGCGCCGGCATAAACCGCTTCGTCGCCGTTTTCGCCGTCCCCCTTCTCTCCTTCCACTTCATCTCTGAAAACGACCCTTACTCCATGAACTTCCGTTTCATCGCCGGCGACACCCTGCAAAAACTCGTCATCCTGCTCGTTCTCGCCGGCTGGGCTGCTTTGACCGGAAACGGCTCCCTCGACTGGAGCATAACGATTTTCTCTCTCTCCTCACTTCCGAACACTCTGGTTATGGGGATCCCGCTGTTGACCGCCATGTACGGCGGCGAGTACTCCTCGGGAAGCCTGATGGTACAAGTGGTGGTGCTGCAGTGCATTATTTGGTACACTCTGTTGCTGTTCCTGTTCGAGTACCGCGCCGCGAAGGTGCTGATAATGGAGCAGTTCCCGGAAACCGCCGCGTCTATCGTTTCGTTCAAGGTGGAATCCGACGTCGTTTCGCTCGATGTTGGCCTGGATTCCCTGGAGACCGACGCGGAGGTCGGAAGTGACGGAATGCTTCGCGTGAGAGTGAGGAGACGGTCGATCTCTGTGACTACGACTCCCCGGCCGTCGAATCTCACCGGCGTTGAGATTTACAGTTTACATACATCCAGGAACCCGACCCCGAGAGGATCCGATTTCAACCCGAATGATTTGTACTCGATGATGGGGTTTCCGGATCGGTTATCCAATTTCGGGCCCGCAGATATTTACTCTGTGCAATCCTCCAGAGGCCCGACTCCCCGGCCGTCGGATTTCGAGGAAAACTGCGATCCCGCCGGGACTAATAATGTCATCAACTCATCCTCCATGGCCGAGCTTTATACGGGTCGATCCGGCGCCTACCCTGCCCCGAACCCGGAAATTACTTCTTTAGCTCCGAAAAGCTCGAAAAAAGAAGCAGAGCATCAGCTTTTGTCTCAATCGAAATCATTGCCTGTGCAGAGTAAAAACAGCTATGACGCAAAGGAACTTCACATGTTCATCTGGAGTTCGAGTACGTCGCCGGCGTCGGCAGCCGGCGGCGTACACGTTTTTGGCGGGTCTGATTTCGGGGCTGATGAGAGCTCCGGCAGGTCGGATGGCGTCAAGGAAATCAGGATGTTGGTCTCTGATCGTCTTCCTCGAAACTGGGAAACAAAACGTAAGATCGATTACTTTTTTGTATGGGTTGGTGCTGATCAAATACCTTTTTTTTGTTGGGCTGATCACGAACAACTCTTTTAAGGAGTGTTTGGGTTTGCTTAAAAAAAGTGTTTTTCAGCTTTTGGCTTAAAAAAAATTGAAAAGAGTGTTTTCAAATGACAGCTTCTGCTTAAATTAATCACTTAAAAGCTAAAAGCTGGAAGCAGGTAGAAGGATGCTTTAAACTGCTTCTCACTTTTTCTATTACACAAAAAATACTTATTTTCCCAAACACTACCAACTTTTACTTTTCCAGAATCACTTTTTTTCAAACACTACCAACTTTTACTATTAATAACTTTTTCCAAAATCACTTTAAAAAATCACTTTTTTAAAGTTGAAGCAATTGCAAACACTCCCTTACTTTTCTTTTCCTGTCCAAAACCAAATCACATTGGACCAGATTAAATTAAATTAGATTTGAATAATTATAAAATATACATGAATTAAATATTTATCAGATCAGATTAGATCAATTCAGACTAAATTAGATTAGATTAGAACAGACTAAAAAAAATTCAATCCAATTAAAAATATCGTAAAAAATAAAATTTCTTAAATAAATCCAAATATGCCTCAATATCAAATCATCACTTTCACATTCTTTGCTTCTTTAATATTCTTTCAACATTTTGATATTTGTATATGACACACATTCTACTTTTGATCATATTATAGTACTCCGTAGTAATTATTAATGTATTCATAAAAAGTACTCCCCCTGTCCCTAAAAGTTCTTTCATAGTGCAGATGACACACGGATTAAAAAAGTGGATTTTGTGTGGTAGTGAGTCATGCATAGACGAGAGAAATGTGTAAGAATGTGTAAGAATTGCTGTGAACCACAAATTCTTTACCAAAAAAAGAAAGTGAATTTCTTTTTGGGACGAATGAAAAGGAAAAGTTAGAAGTTCTTTTAGGGACGGAGGGAGTATAATATAGAAAGTGTGACAAAATTTATCACAAAGTGAAATTTTAAAATGAATTTTTATAACATTCACCAATAGCCCAACTAAATACATAATAATAGCTAATTGTGTGATTCCATTCAAAAAAAAATAGCTAATTGTGTGATGAGATATAGATGTGTGAAATTTGAAGCATTGCAACAAAGGTGAATGTAGTGTGTCCATATCGTTATATGTTTAGTGTATGCTATAGGAGATTTTTGATACACCAGTGATGTTTATATATACAAGTTTACTATAACTGCTTTTAAGGTAAATATCTTCCAAAATAACAAGGTGATAATGATTTTTTTTTTTGAGGAAAGGTGATAATGAATTTGATACCACTCGAAAAGTAATACGGAGTATGTGACAGTTCAAGCAATATATAGGGAGAGTTTTTTGACAAGTTTTTCTGAATCGCTTTTTACATGCTCTCTCCAGTCCTAAATAAAATTCACACTTTCCTTTTCAGGTAGGTCCAAAATGAACTTCACACTTTTATTTTTGACAAGTTTTTTAATATAAAATTACCCTTATAACCTTACTTTATTATATATCTACTATCTACTTTCTCTCTCTCACTACACTTTATTGGCTTTTTGTAAGGATATGGTTGGAAAGTCAAAACAATAAATTTCACTTTCTTAAAAACTGAAAAGTCAAACCATGAAGATTATTTAGGACCAGATGGAGTGTTGTTTTGAAAACAACCCTTAAATAAGACTAAAATATGACTCATACACTTTTAATCGGAGATTTTTATACTTTTATTAAGATCAAATAACTCCTATTTTAAAAATAAAAATAGGTATTCATTTTTGTGCATTTTGTGTAAATTTTAGTCGTACTTGGAGTATTTTCTTTTTTTCTTACATTTTACATAATGCATGTAATTTACTAAAATTTTATAGTTAAGATTTATTCATAATAAAACATTAATCACATACGGGACACAAATAGACATGATAAGCGTACTTGGGAAAAGTCCAAAATCAAAAGTGGGGAGGCAAATGGAGTGTTGACGAATTGTGCTCAAGTATACAAAAAATTGGAATGTTATATACAGAGTATATGATTACAAAAATAGGGTTTATATAGATGTTGCTAAAAGTGTGTAGGGAACTTTCATAAAATAAGTAACTAATTTATCTATTCTATTTGTTTGACATATTTTCCTAATTTATCCATTATTACCGAGTATTATACTCCGTAGATCCTACTAGACTTTCTCATTTACCATTGTGTCCTTTGACCCGTCATTTGACTACTAGTATAGATTAACATTAACATAATAATAGTCGACGTACTTTCCTACTAAAGGTCAAATATATCAGTTTATCTTCTATTTCAAGTTGATGAATAGATTAAATTCTTAATCACAAACAAATCAATCAGAATCATCAAACGGACAATAATAAAAGTCTGAGTACTGGTATGGAATACTTCGAACCCATTACTTTATTCTTGAATAGGTAAATATCAATGTGCTCCATATTACCATGCATATAGGTCCGAAATGAAAGTGTCACCCCAACATCAAAGTATCAAACAGTTGACTAACATAAAAAGAAATGAAAATAATGAAATCTCGAAACTCTTCATACGATTAGAAGTGATTGATTCCAATTCAAAGTACAAAACAATGGCTATTTTATTTTTGCGCTATATATGTCTGTATAGAGACATATATAGTACAAAAAACCTGACCTGTCAAGTTGGCCTAACACTATATTTGTCTACATAGAGTAAAAATTATGAAATTTTTAGATGAAATTTTGTAAGCATGTTCTTCATAAAGTTTAAATTAATTATCCCCACAAAATTTTAGCTAAAATTTTGATCAAGAAGTCAGTCAAATGTGGAATTGAATAACATTGCGTTGTTAATATATATATATATATAGTGCATTGTTTTTAAACCATTTATTGAATTGTCTAATTTGAAGCTGCAATTTGGTGGGCATCAGTTACGTACACTTCACGAATAACATGCTCAAAAAAATTCATCAAACAAATTCATCGGGAAGGATCCCAAATGGCTTTGGCCGGACGGTGGATCTTGTCAAGCCGACCTGATACGATCATTTCTCTATCTGCGAATATTTTAATTATATTTAATGAATTTTTAATAGATGCGTAACGTATTTGACTCTTATATGCATGTAATGTTCTTTCTTTATTAATAGTAGTAATTATTAACGTATTCATAAAAAGTACTATCTCCGTTCCTAAAAGTTCTTCCACAGTACAAATGGCACACAAATTAAGAATGTGGATTTTGTACGTGTGGTGGAGAACTATGCAGAGGCGAGAGAAATGTGTAACGACAAATTCTTTCCCAAAAAGGTAAAGAGAAGTTCATTTTTGGACAAACGAAAAGGAAAAGTTATAAGTTCTTTTAGAGACGGAGAGAGTATAATATAGAAAGTAGTGTGACAAAATTTATCACAAAGTGAAATTTTAAAATGAATTTTAATAATATTCAATAATAGCCCAACTTAATATATAATAATAGCTAAAATTGTGTGATGAGATATAGATGTGTTAAATTTGAAGTACGTATTGCAACAAGGGTGAATGTAGTGTGTCCATATCGTTATATGTTTAGTGTATACTATAAGAGATTTTTTACACACTAGTGATGTTTAGACAAGTGTACAGTGTACTATAACAAGGTGATAATGAATTTGATACAACTCGAAAAGTAATACGTGACAGTTAAAGCGATATATAGGGAGAGTATACGACACCTTTCGATTTATTCTTTCTAAATCCCTTTTTACATATTTTTCTGCAAAAAATCCTTAAATAAGATTAAAATATGACGCATTCACTCTTAATTGGAAACTTTTATATTTTTATTAAGATCAAATAAGTCATATTTTAAAAATAATAATAGATATTCATGTTTGTGCATTTTGTGTAAATTTTAGTCGTGCTTGGAGTATTTTCTTTTTTCTTACATTTTACCTCATGCGTGTAATGTAATAAAACTTTATACTATGTAGTTAAGATTTATTCATAAATAAAACATTGATCACACACGGGATACAAATAGACATGATAAGCGTACTTCGGAAAAGTCCAAAAACAAAATGTGGGGAGGCAAATGGAGTGTTGACGAATCGTGTTGAAGTGCACAAAAAATTGGGATGTTATATACGGATCCGGAACCTCTGCCTTGTTTTGCCGCAAGGTAGGGTGCCCGGCTTTCTTAGGCCGTCCGATCAACAAACCAACGGCCGAAGATCGGAACTCCGCATCTCGAGGCGCCTGCTTTCTCTTCCTTCCATCGGATGCCGCAAGGCACCTCTGCCACACGGCAGAGGATCTGAATCCGTTATATACAGAATGTGTATGATTACAAAAAAATTGGAATGATATATACAGTAGATTACAAAAATATGGTTTTTTATATAGATGTTGCTAAAAGTGTGTAGGGAACTTTCATAAAATAAGTAACTATTTTATCTACGGAGTATTCTATTTGAGTATTTGTTGACATATTTTTCTAGTTTATCCGTAATTTGAATCTACTAGACATTCTCATTTACCATTGTGCCCTTTGACCCATCACTTTGAATTGACTACTAGTATGTACTTATATAGATTAACATTATCGTAATAATAGTCGACGTACTTTCCTACTAAATTAAAGGTCAATTAAGTTTTTCTATTTCCAGTTGATGAATAGATTAAATTCTTAAGAGAGATTTATCTAAATAGGACTAATACAAGGTAGAATTGCAAAAATAGGACTCCTATGTTTTATTTAACAAAAATAGGACTAAAACGAGGTAACCGGACAATACTACCCTTAATTAAAAAAGCAATCACACCAGCGGCAGTCATCCTCCAGGAACGAGAGCGATGCGGCAGCCATACTCCAGGAACGATAGTTGTTGCCACCATCCTCCGATGAAACCATCGCTATAGGCAAGTCCCTTCTCCTCCTTCTTCACTTCTTTCTTCTTCCTGCTCCATCTTATACCTCGTTCTCTATTTTTTTTGTTTTGTCTATTAGTTTGATTACTTTCAAAATTCTAAATAAAACTTTGGATTTTGAAATTTCAGATGAAGAGTCAAATTTCTATGAAACAACCAGTGAAAGAAATGATTAATTTCAAAAATGAGAATATCATAAAAATGTATTTGAAAATGTCACTTTTTGAATATGAGAATGCCTGTTATAAAAAAGAATGCCGCTTTTATGACATTATATTTATAAATTTATAAATACGGCAATATTATTTTTGGCTTGTTTGTCAAATGATATCAGTTTTATGATATCAAACATATAAAAATGTCATTTTTATATGATGATTAGATAATTTCCTATGAAAATGACACAACTATCAATGTGAAAATGTCATCTTTTAACGGTAGAAAATGACATCTTTTTTACAGTAGAAAATGTCATCTTTTATATGACAATGTCATTTTATGTCAAAGTGAGATTGCCACCTTTATAAGCATATTGCTATAAAAGTGGCATTTTCTTCAAATTACAAATAGGTTTGACATCCTCAGATTGAACAAATGACATTTTATGGGAATCTGCATTCTCAGGTTCAAAATTGCTAAATAAATTAAAATTCAAATCCACATATATTTGATCACCAGAAAAATTGAAAAATTAAAATACAGAGGATCTGGAAGAAGATGAGAAAAGGAAGAAGAAAAGAGGAAGAGGAAGAGAAGAGGAAGAGGAAGAGGAAGAGGAAGAAAGAAGAGATCGATATGAACCAATTACATACTATTCACTTGGCGGTCGAAATCATCGAAGTCAGACGATTACAACCGATGCAATATCGGCGGCGAAGGGAGGCGACGAAGAGAGGCGGCGAAGGGATTCTCTGGTGCGCACTGTAGCTTCGATGATGGACTTGAGTTGCGATCAATGACAGAGGAATACCAGGCTTCGATGAGTAAAGGATTAGGGATTTAATTATATAAGGGTATAATGGTAATGTTTAGTCCTATTTAGGCAATATAAAACATGAAGTCCTAATTTGGAGTTTTAACCATGTTTTAATCCTATTTAGAATAATTCTTAATCACAAACAAATCAATCAGAATCATCAAACAGACGAGAAAAGTCTGAGTACTGGTATGTAATGCTTCGAACCATTACTATGTTCTAGAAAAGGTAAATATCAATGTGCTCCATATACCTTCGAAATGAAAGTGTCACCCTAAACACAGTTTCAAACAGTTGACTAACATAAAATGAAATGAAAATAATGAAATCTTGACTCTTAATACAATTAGAAGTGATTGATTCCGATTCAAAGTACAAAACAATGGGCTTTCAAAAAAAGTACAAAACAATGACTATTTTATTTTTGCACTATATATATGCAGGGGTGGCCCTAGGGGGGGTGCAGCTGGGGCGGGCGCCCTAGGCCCAAAAAATAGTGTAAAAAATTTAGGCCCAATCTTAAAGCTTTGTACTAAGAGTGAGTAGGCTGAATTTTTAGGCTATATTCACTAACTTCTGAAGGCGTAAAAAAATCTGAATAAAGACACGACTCTCAGCTAGGTTGGTGCCTATCACTGAACCGTCATTTAGGCCCTCGCTGCTCCAAAGTTCAAACCTCAATATTCCAATTCCTCATTATGAAATTCCATCAGTCAATACTCAATAGGTCATAGATAGTTGATACATCAATTTCTTGAGCCTTTTATCCTTCCTAAACCGCACATATATATGATTCTAACTTCTGATAACCTGGAGTCCTTTATTTCTTTTATTACTCTTATGTGCTTTTATATTTTGCAATTATGCTCTTACTTTTTTCAAGATCAGTTATCATTGTTTTTCACCCTTTTCATTTTTCATTGAATTTACATTTTCGTTGATTAGTCACCTAGTTTTTGACTTAGTGATCTTGAAATCACAAATTCACATTTATACTTCCTCCGGCCCGATTTGAGTTGCAATGTTTGAGTTTTAAGGTTGAGTGACGATAAAATTAAATCATCCCCTGATAGTTTTAAAATTTTTTCAGTAAAAAAATGGTTTTTCATTAAATTTATAATAAGTTTCGAGGTGTAACAAAAATGTTCTCTAACTGCAATTTTACTTGCTTAATACGGAGAATTATAACAATCTTTTCTTCATTATACAATTCTTGAAGTATAATTGTTATGCATTAGATTAGATAAAAAAAATTCTTTATTTTTATTTTTTAAATTAGGCCCATTATAAAATATTTGCCCCTAGGCCTTGAAACTGTCCGGACCGCCCCTGTATATATGTCTACATAGAGTAAAAATTAATCCTGTCAAGTTGGCCTAACAAGATCATATGCCGTCTGACCGCCTTCTTTTGATGTGGTTTACGGTGAAATTTTTAAATGAAATTTTGTAAGCATGTTTAAAATTTTAGCTAAAATTTGAATCGGGAAGTCAGTCAACTGTGGAATTGAAAAATATTGCACTGTTTATATATATATATATATTAATATATATATATATATAGTCCAGTGTTTTTAAATAATTTATTTAACTGTCTAATTTCAAGCTTCAATTTGGTGGACATCAATTACGTACACTTCACGAATAACATGTTCAAAAAAAATTGTCAACAATTTCACGGGGAAGGATCCAAATGACTTTGGCCGGACGGTGGATCTTGTCAAGCCGACCTGACACGATCATTTCTCTATGTACATTTTAATTATATTTAATGAATTTTTAATAGATACGTAACGTATTTGACTCTTCTATGCATGCGATGTTCTTTCTTTAATACAAATGTTTCTTTCTTGTCTTTTGACTTTGCATTATTGAAGCCATAATTAATAGTGACATGGAAGGCTGCAGCTTCTACCCCTTTGGTGAGGCAAAAGAAGGGCACGAGGAGAAATCTGAAAAGGAAGTACAACTCCCCACCAAAATGGGGTCCGCCTCCCCTGCTCAACCGCCAGACTCCGGCCGCAGAAAACCGATGCCGCCGGCGAGCGTCATGACGCGGCTGATATTAATCATGGTTTGGCGAAAGCTGATCCGGAACCCTAACACATACTCCAGCCTCATTGGTCTGATTTGGTCCCTTATTTCGTACCGGTAAGATAAAAATTCTTTTTGTCCCACTTTTTTCTAACATGGCTTTGACTTTTTTCCCAATAATCTCTTTTTTTTATGGTTTTCTCCCAATCTATTTGATTGATACGGAGTATATAAATTGATTGTATATTTGCCTGGACCATAATGTTTTTATGGCTTTTTCCCAATCTGTTTGATTGATAAATTGATTGTATGTATATTTGCATGGACCATAATTTTTTTAATGGCTTTTCCCCCAATCTATTTGATTGATACATTGATTGTATATTTGCATGGACCATAATTTGCAGGTGGCATGTCCACATGCCCAAAATCATAGACAAGTCCATATCCATCCTTTCTGATGCTGGCCTTGGTATGGCCATGTTTAGCTTAGGTGAGTACTCCAATTTAATTAGTTCATTACTTTAGTCCCAATTTAGTAATCTATTTATATAAATTTGTTTTAAAAACTGAATGCTGTGTTTTAAAACACACTACTAAAATGCTTCATTCGTCTCAAAATGATTTTTAAAGTAAATTTTTATTAATCGACATAGTCATTTGTTTTGATAAACCTTTTGTAATGATATTATAATTAATAAATTAAAAAGTGAAACTGCGTGTAATCAAATGTAAAGATAAACCCCTATGCAATGATATTATAATTAATAATTAATATTACTAATTAAGCTCGATCGCCTAAATAAAAAACAGTGTTATGATCCAAATAGAAATGTCGAAATAGACTTTGAATAAATAAATTGATTAGTGAGACATGGTATCAGATAATTAAATAATGTTAAGAACGTAAATAGATTTATGAACATAGAGAATATATTGTATCCATATAAAATGAACTATTGAAGAGTTAATATTTTATTTCAGCTAATATGATATAACAAGTAAGTATAATTATGGTATTGTACATTATTGCATCTACCACGTCGATTGCTAACTAAACAACAAATTGACAAGTATATGGATGTTCATTTTTCTGACCAGCGGGCTAACTACTAAAAATAGTATATATTCCGTTATTTAAGAGGGTAACTAGTGGGAAAACATATAAAGATCGAGCATATCCATGTTGCTTTGATGAATAATATACATTGTTTTATTTTTGAGGATATACTATCTAGCTATATAGAGGTATGAAATGAAATATATGATGCTCACCATTTTTTAACGCTAACGTGTGTGCTCTACAATAAGCATGTTAGCTTGAATAGCATATTATGAATTTATCTCTTTATCATGGCCTCAGCCCTCATGGGCATATGAGCACAAAAGTAAGAATAAACCTCTTATTAAAAAATAAAAATAAAATAAAAAACAAAAACAAAAAAGCAACCTACTCTAAGAATCTAAAAACTCATACGGAGTATATCTTAGCGGAAATGAATTAATTAATTACTAACAACTATGGTATGTTATGTACTCCAAAATAAAAATGGTTTTAATCGATTGAAATTTTCTACAATATAATGAAGTGATCTGATCTGATCCAATCTAATATACTACTACCTCCCTCCCATTTGATATGTCTCCTTTGGTTTGGGCACAATCTTTAATAAAGTGGTTGAAAAGATAAAAGTTGTGGTTGAGATTTGAGTATAGTAAAGTAAAATGTTGTGAACCACATATTTCTTTCCAAAAAGGGAAACATGACACTTATTTTGGGACAACCCAAAAAGGAAAGTAAGACAGGTAAAATAGGACGGAGGGAGTACGTATTTAAGTTTAGGTTTGTCTAGTTTGATCGATCTTGTCTCATAGATGTCTGTTATGATTTTACAACTGTTGAAGTCTAGTTTAAACTGGTCTGAACTAGTTCAATCTGATTTGCTTGAACTAGTCCAATCTGATCTGATATCATCTGTTTAAGTCTATGCTTATTTGGTTTGGTTTGGTTTGAGATTGGAACCATCCTAACTAAAAAAGGTATATAAACGTTCACTAGCGTTTTGAAATGCATGGAGTTACCCGCATAGGTAGCTCAACTAGTAACGCGGTGAGAAAGTTGGAGAATGATCAAGTATCGAAACCTGCACTAACCATGTGGGGGTCACAGCTCTTACGAATTTGCTAACTTTGGTGTGCATCCAAAGTTGGTTTGCATCCTCCACAGGGGTGGCCCTAGGGGGGTGCAACAAGGGCGAGCGCCCTAGGCCCAAAAAAAGTGTAAAAAATTTAGGCTCAATCTTAAGGCATTGTATTAAGAGTAAGTAGGTTGAGTTTTTAGGGTATATCCACTAACTTCATGCGGCATAGGGAAAAGATAGGACTCTCTGCTGGGTTGGTGCCTATCACTGAATCGTCATTTAGGACCTCACCGCTTCAAAGTTCAAACTTCAATATTCCAATTCCTCATTATAAACTTCCATCGGTCAATACTCAATAGACCATAGATAGTTAATACATCAGCTTCTTGATCCTTTTATCCTTTCTAATCCGAACATAGGATCTAACTTCTGATATCCTGGAGTCTTTTATATCTTTTATTACTCTTATGTCCTTTTTTATTTTGCTTTTATGCTGTTACTTATTTCAATATCAGTTACCATAGCTTTTCACACTTCTTAGTTTTCATTGAATTTACATTTTCGTTTATTAGTCACCTAGTTTTTGACTAATTGATTGTGAAATCGTAAATTCACATTTATACTTCCTCCGTCCCGATTTGAGTTGCAATTTCTGAATTTTAAGGATGAATGATGATAAAATTAAATCATCCCGTGATAGTTTTAAAATTTCTTCAGTAGAAAAATGGATTTTCATTAAATTTACAAATATAATAAATTTCAAGGTGTAACCAAAATGTTCTCTTACTATAATTTTACTTGCTTAATACGACGAATTATAAAAGTCTTTTCTTTATTATACAATTTGTGAAGTATTATTGTTATGCATTAGATTAGACAAAAAATTAATTGTTTTTTTAGAATTAGGCCCATTATATACTATTTGCCTTTGAAATTATTAGGGCCGCCCCTGATCCTCCTCCAACATGCTATATGTCGGGTCGGGCGTGGGGGTGCCTCAGGGGTTGGGCATCAACTTTGGAGAATTGAAATGCATGGAATTGAAGGAAATTTACTTATATATATCAACAAATT